AAAAAAAAAAAAAAAAAAAAGGATCTTCTGCTAGAACGTGAAATAATATGCCGTCATATGTTTTGTCTTTTGTGCATGTGGTGAGTAGAGGCCCTTACGGCCACTGCAAATGTGGAGAATTAGAATGAATCTCCTGCTAGAACGTGGATTAATACGCCCCCATATGTTTTGTCTTTTGTGCATGTGGTGAGTAGAGGCGCTTAGGGCCATTGCACGTATTCCTACGAAAAGAAAAAACGAGAAAAAACAGAAGAAAAATGAGAAAACAAAAGAAAAACGAGAAAACAAAAGAAAACGAGAAACAGAAGAAAATGAGAAAACAAAGAATTAGTGACCCATAACTGTGATGCACAGAGTGCCACAGACCTGAATTTGAATCCAGACTGTATATTCTCGGCCCACATAGTCTAGAAGTCTAATGTCCATCTCTGCTCCACGAGAGGTCCTTCCTAATACGTAGGGGCCCTTCGAAAATGAGACTGGACGGATAGATTGGAGCATTTGTAAAAAAAAAAAAAAAAAAAAAGGACATGCACCTACATGCACACACATGTGCTCACAGTGTTGGGGTATGGGGCGGCCCCAACTTTTTTCCCTCTTGAAGTTTGATTTTCGGAAGGAAGGGGCATGTTTGGCCACCCCACCCTGTTAACAGGGGTCAATTTTCTTTTTCTTTTTCCTTGTTTCTAGTGTTTGGGCGCGTAGGGCCACGTGTCCAAGGCCCAATGCGCTCATCCCGTTTTTTCGCATTCAACGGGAGACCCCCGTTTTTCCGTTAAACGGGATTCAACGGGGCCCCTGGCACAATTCAATGGGGTCCAACGGAATTTAACGCCCCCCGTTGCCTGTTGTTTGGACACAGAGACTGCGCCAATGTCGTATTGGCTTGCGTCAGTGGTCACGACGAATAGCTTCTCAGGATTGGGTAGCATGAGAATCTCATGATGCATGAAAGCATACTTCAATCGTTTGAAGGCTGCCTTGCACTCGTCTGTCCATTCCCATGGTGTGTCAAAGCGTGTTAGATCAATCAAAGGGGCGGCCACCGTACTATAATTCTTTACGAAATCGCAATAGTAGCCAACCATCCCTAAGAATGATTTGACCTTTGTCATAGACTGAGGTCGTGGCCAATCACGAATGCTGGCCACCATCGCATCTTCAGGCGTAACTCCATCCG